CAGCAGGAGGCTGTTTTCAATGGATTTTCTTAATGGGCTTTTATTTATTTATTTATTTATTTTTAAAGAGGGAGTACTAATGGTAATATGAACAGGCTGGGATCCTGCTTGGCTCTGCTGCTGTAGACTGCTTGTACAGACCCCAGAGCAGACTAAAACCCTCCCATCTCTAAAATGAAAAATGCAGTTCTGCAAATTGCTTTGAGGTTCCTGACTGAAAGCAGAAATGCCAAGTATTGAAATACTCAGTGTGGATGGCTCAGGGGTGGAAAGGAGGGCAAATTGGAGCCGTTTCTTAAGACAAAAGTCAGAAGACTACAATCCCCTTTCTAATCTCTGAAATAGCCCCGCCCCTGACCCTATCGCCTTCATTTTAAATGGAAGATCTATCCCTATTTTTCACAGTTGGCATTCTGTCTACCCAAAATCCTATTTCATATTCCCTCCTATTTCATATTCCCTCATATCCTTTCTACTTCTCCTCTCAGGTTTGCCATCACGCATCATTTCTCCACATTCAGAGCTGGCTGCTGGTGTTACTGCTTACTTCCTCAGCATGGTCTCATCCTGGCCAGAGGCAACAGGTTTTATACCCAAAACAGAGAGAGACTAGCATTTTCCACCTCCTTCGGCAGCTTCAGTGATAGTTTTCTCCTTCGTCAGCCTTGTCTGTAGTAGCTTGTTAGCCTCATGGAAAGCCATTTCCACACGAATATCATTATCCTGGATGTCATAGAACAACCCTGGGGAGACACACAAATGCTCAAGCAGAAGTCATCCCCCCTGTACTGCAGGCTTCCATATACCTGCTCATTCTACATCAGAGCTAGTAGGGGGTTAAGAATTAACATAAGGGCTGTCAACAGATTCTATGGTATATATCAAATGCACATCTCCAGTCAATATTATTATACCTAAAAGAGTCCAAGCCAGGATGCTGGATGGCTCCAAACAGCTGGCATCCTCAAAGAAAATCTCTGCTTCTTCATAGTGCTCCATCATGACAGCTGCAATACCACACAGAAGCAAGCTAGAGGTGGAGACAAAGAGGTTAACCACAAAGCCCTATAACTGATCAAACCAATGGCATGGAACACATGCCTCTCTTTTCCATCCCACCTACTTAGAACAAGCTGTACCTGTACAGATGACTTGGGTTTAGAGAAAGAGCCTCACGAAAACACTCCTGAGCCTTGATGTCTTCTTCTGTCAGGAGGCAGAAAGCCCCATAATCTAGCCAGGACTGGATATTCTGACGGTCACGAGCTACTCTCTAGGTACAAGAAACAATTGCTGTAGTTAGAAGTCCTGTAGTCATATTGAGGTACAGGAAGGTTAGAATAATGCATTCCAGTTGTATGACAATCTCCCTTTTCCTACCCTGACCCAAGCATTTGGCCAGCAACCATCAGCCTTTATTTAAGTGCTAGAATTCCTCTTAAGCAGTGATCATTACTGGTATCACCCTTCAGTGTGATTACTCTCAGGCTCTGCTTCCTTCACCTGGTGTTATGGTGTCAGCCAGCTTTAGCCAGCCTTCTTGCTGATCTCCTTCTAGGTCTCTCTTTCACTGTTTATAGATACAATTTTTTGATTTCTTACCAATTCCCCCTTTGGGCTAATTGATTGGTTACTTCTTTTCCCTTTCACCATCAAAATGAAAGCCCTCAGTGACATGACCAGCCACAAGAAAACTTACCTTTCGGTGACACCAGCCCCACTGCCATCACTGGAATGAGGAGAGGTGAGAAAAGGGAAGGAAGAAACTCCCTCACCTGCTGGTAGTAGAGAGAGGCCAGCTCATAGTCCCCAATGACTTCAGCTTCATGAGCAAAGAGACGGAGCTGCTCACAGCTTGCGAAAGTGGGTAGGGTAGGAACAGCAGTATCCTGTGACAATACCTGTTAAGAAACAGGAGGACCAGGGAGACAAAAAGAGAAAATATCAACATGAAGAAATTTAGTGAGGATGAATTTGTAAATCCAGTGTAATATAAAGTACACTGAATTTCAGGCTGGGCTATGCAGGTTATAAATCATTCCAATTGCTGATGGCAAATGGGGCTCTGTAAACTGTATATCACTGCCAACCATATTGGGCCTCAGGCTTCCTTTATCACACAAGTGAAGGTTTCCTCACTATTTAATACTGGTGAGCTGTTGGTACCAGATATTTTCAATCTTAAAATCCAAGGCTACTTGACATGGGACAAAACATTTTAAGTTCTTTACTCTGGTAAATTATGTGGCAACACTCATTTTTGGTCTTTCATACATGCTGGAAGACCTGCACTACACACAGGAGCCTACTCAGTGCTCTTCACATGTATGCTCACCAGTAGCTCTTTTTATCAATTACACCTTGTACACTTCCACGCAGATTCCATCACAAATAGAACTTTGACATATTTAGACAGTGTATATTTAGAAAACGGATGTGAAAATGTCTCTGGGTTCTGCAAGTTATCATAGTTGTGTTTGGACACTAAGCGCCTGATCCCACTCCCACTGGAGACAAAACCAAAAGCTCCACTGACACTCATAAAAGCAGTGGAAGTCTTAGTTCCCTCAGGAAGCAAATGTATTCCAAGTTGCATCATTACAAGCATGTTACTTCATGGTTGGGTGTCTGCCTACCTGGTTCAGAGCAATGTGCATCTGATCCACGAGGTACACGTACAGCTCACTCTGGAAGGCTTGGAGTTGCTCTAGGTTGTTGAAAGCTGTTGTCTTCAAGTACTTCTCTCTCACAATCTTCACCACTGAATGCTGCACAGAACAAAAAGGAACTACTTGAGAACAAACCCACCTTTTTCACCCTACTATGCTTCTTTCTGGCAATAGCAGAAGCAGGGAAGGCAAATTTCCTTTTGTCTGAATCAGCAAGCATTTTTCAGGAAGAAGTATCATGAATGGCTTTGGTTAAGAAGAGAAGGAATGAACACAGGTGAATTTCACTCTTCTCTACCAGTCTATGGCCCTTCTTGGTGAAGTCCATTGGTGGAGTAGTAGATGTCTCCTGACATGTAACCCAAGCTTGGCCAACTGCCTTCCTTGTTAGATCACCAGGCTGAGAATCCACGTACCAGCTAGAAAAGACACTGACTAGTTAGAAGAGATTCTACAGTTGTAAGACGGCATCAGATATTCTAAGTTACTATCAAAGTACAGAAGCTGTTTTGTGAAGGGTAAGTCAGGAAGGGAATTAAGAGATTTAAAGAAAGTTTTTGCCTTAAGCTGTTCCTTAAAAGCAAAGTATTTTCCTGAGTGATTGAGCTCATAGTTGAGTTGACACTTCTGTTCCTCCAGGATCTGGTGATCAATCATGGCACCATCAGTCACCTGCCTCCCAAACAGTTCATGGTACTCATCCAGGATGGCTCCAGCAATACTGGTAATCTGACTGTGGTAGTCTTTCACAGCCTAGGAAGCAAACAACCCTGAGCTGAAATAGGAGTTTAGTATTGGGATTCAATATTATAGGTAACTTTTAACATGAAGTTTGAAATCAACTGATATTGGAGAACATGCTCCATTTAAAATCCATTTAACTCAAATAAGTTAACCTGTTATAACTTTTCCTATCAACCTTGAGGACAGCTAAGACACCTGAGTGCAAATAGGAGATTTTTTTCTTTATAATTAACACTCCTGTACCTTTTTCAGCCAAACTCAGTATTTCAAACATCACCACCCCTTCAAAGGTAACCTAGCTGTCTTTCAATTAAATATATGTATTCTACTAGGAGTCCTTTTACTTGTCTGCCATCCCTCTGTGGCAGGGACTGCAATCTCTATAAAATAAATGGCAAAGTCCCATTGACCATACTGCCATGGTCAAAACTTATCACTCTGTGTACTCCAGGCAGTATATCACAAGTCAATTTAGGAGCAGCATTTGGTGTCAGTTATACAAATACTGCCATCTTTCGCCTCTCCATCACCGGTTCCATTCAATCTCTAGTGAACAAGTAGCCACATCATGCCCACAAGAACCACACAAAATCTACACCTTTTGTTGGCAATCTCAGGGAAGCCAAGGACTGAGAGGATCAGAAAGACACTACTTTGCTCTTACATTTTCAACTGTGAGCTAAGGCTCCTTGGCTGGTCTGGGAGGTGGAACTAGAACAGTACTTTCCATTTTGTGACAGTCTGGGGACATACAGAGGGCTTTTGTATCCATGACTGTCAATCTGACACCTTCTGACACTTAAAAGACCACCAACTATTCTTGCTTTGCCCCTCCACCTTTCTTCTCGCTTGCCTTCATTAAATGTCTATTGAGTCTAGCTAACCTAACATAAGGAATGGTCTCTTCAAATGTGTGATACAGGTTCTGTAAATACAATCTATCTGTAAATAATTCTCTCTGTGGTTCAGAAAGGAATATCTCTCTTACAAATCTTATATTTGGGGGTTACCAGGCACCTTTGGAGTGGAGGCAAGTAAGAGAAAGGAAGCAAAAAATACAGTTTTTTCTATTTACCTTCTTAGCTCCTGCAGTCCGGCAAGGAAGCTGAGGGCGTGGAGGAATCATCTGCTTCACTCTGTATGCAAGAAGATGAAAGGAACCTATTTAACAGGTAGTAAGTAACCCAAATCTGTTGTGGACACAACCCAAATCTGTTGTGGACATAAATAGTCAGTCTGTAGTTCTAGGGTTACAGATCTGACATTGTAAATTTGGGTACTAGTCATTAGAGAACTTACACAGATTCACAAGTGACTCTGTGCTGACCAAAATTGCTACATTCAGTATCAGTATCACTATATTCAGTATCAATATGACAATATTTGGTATCAGTATCATTATCAATTCTTCAGTAATTAACACTGACTTCATTCCCCACTAGAGGTCTAAGTCCTGGTTTTTATTTATGCCCAAATGTGTGAAGTAGTATTATTGTAAATGACAATAAAGTTCCCAAGTCTGGGAATAAAGTGCCCTACCTGTCCTGCTTAATCTAGAGTCTGAGGTCTAGTCCCTCTGTTGCAAATCCACTGCTCTGGCCCTTTGTATTCCTGCATTTTATTACTGGTCTGGCTCTCTGATGCCCTCCTAGACAGATGTGTGGAATATTCCTTGAAAATGCTTGAAGTTTGTAAAAATGTTCAAAATGCATGTGTCAACTCATTAACCTACCCCTTCCTGCCATACAGAAATCATGGGCTGTGGTTGTTTCTAAATACAAAGCTTAGGGAACCTAGGACTAGTTCTAGGAATGAATAATGCACATCCTTATTTTATTATGAGGAGAAAAATGCAAAAAGAACATTAAGGATACATGATTAAATGAATAAAGCTGGAAAAATATATTAAGGCTAATACTGAATCCTGAACTCAGCCCTAGAAATACAGCCATGGCATTCACTGCTAGAGCACATTACTGAGACAAGGCATGATTCAGAAGATCTGGTATTGACATATATAGGGATAACATTTGCATTGCTACCAGCTTACTTCAGGGTGCAAACTGACAGTCAGCTGGAGCCAGGAAAGAAGCTGTCCAGCCCCAAATTCATTCAGTTTTGTATAGTTAGTTGGGCATACTGAGCTTAATTCTGACTTCAGTTACAGCACTGTAAAATCCAGATTAATTGCACTGAATTCAGGGAAGTTATACTGGAGAGGAAATAGTACAAATGATGTCAGAAGGAAAATTGTCATAAGAGGGCTTCCTCTGATAGATTATTCCTAAGGGATACAAAGCTATAAGAGCCAAAGGCCTCTTTAAGTAGAGCAGTTCCTTTAAATGTCTAATGATTCATTTATGCATTACTGAGAGTATTTGTGAGATACTGTTTCTGCATCTCTTGTACTTCATTGGTTTACTTTATTCTCTCATTCCTATATCATGAATTCTACATTAAAAAGAACCATGACAAGTTCACTTGATTTGGGGATACAGTACAATGAAAGTATTACTCTACAGACTAAGAGAAGCGATGCTAAATGAAACAGACATTAGAAGGATGGAGGTTGTAGAGATAAGTGTTCTTTGAAAGAAGGCAGGTGTAAAATGGAAGGATTTATAAGGCAAAAGACAAAGTCAGGAGAGTGGGATATTAAATCAAGGTCCAAGATTGACTCTAACATAATGAAAGACTATGATGCTAGGGACACAGTAGAGCACAGAGATGACAGAACACCAAGGAACAGCATGCAAATACAGTGACCTGGAGGCCAACCACCAACTAAAATATGGGATACCACACATAAGGACATGACCTGGTGAGCCTCAAATGGAAATGCTCTTCCAGGACTGAACAGCAATGCTGTGCTGTTCTCCATGTCTACAAAGACAAAGACAAGGCTCAGTGAAATGGACTATCTTCCTAACTTGCTAGCTGCCAGTTTTTAAGTGGTTTGATTCAAAGTCCACCAAAGCTGGCAGAAGTCTTTCAGCTGACTTTAGTAGGCTTTGCATCAGCCTTAAGACTACTATTTAGGTAGCACCAGTACTGACAGAGACATTTTTCAGAACTGTTTTTTAAAGAGCCTCTGGCCTGAGGAGCTTCCTGTCTAAATGGTGACCCTAACATTACAGTCTTGCCTTCACGCACCGGGTAGCAAGCTCCTCTGGTAATCGCTTTGGTACCAAGGCTTTGTCCAGCTCTATTTCCATCACCAAGAATGTCCCCGCTTCTGTATATTGCTGTGAAGACAAATGTTACTCTGTCAGTGCCACCATTTTTAGTGTAATGACTAACATGACTGAAGTCTTAATGTACAGCTGTAGACTTTTACCATGGACCCTTATGACAACATCATATTTTCTAACCTGCCCTCAACATTTTAAATCCTGGTAAAATCCAGTTAAAGAAACAGCTTTAAGAGAATTGTCTAGGTTTGTATAATCAATCAGTCTCCTTGGAGAATCCATGTGTGCAGCCACTTCAGTTTTTTTTAGAAGGAAACTTACATGCAAAATCTACTAAAGTACCCTTCTAAGTTATTTTTAGCAATGTCCTGCTCAACTGTTAATTTGCGTACAGGCATCAGTAGAAAGATCTCCCTGTTATGTTCACAAGAAAAAGGGAAAGCCCCCAACCTTTTCTCCCAGTAGAAGTCAGTCACATAAACAGTGTTAGAATCTGGATCACTGCAGCTTATACCACAATGGTCTATTATTCTTTCCATGTGGTTTGGGCACATAATTACCTGTCCTTCTAAGTTCTGACATCCAGATCCTTCCATTTCTAATGCAGTCTCAGATACCTGAGGTTTTAATGCATTGGACATCTATTAAGAGAAAGAAAATGTTGATTATTTAGGATTCAAAGGTCCTCACACATCTCATGTTTAGTACACACCCTGCCACACCAAAAGGGCAATGCATGTACACTAGCAGAGATTTATTGACTATGGTTCTGCAGTTCTATGAATTTTAGAGAGGCAAGCCATTTTCAATGATACGTTTGATTCATGTATCACGTACTGGGGAATTCTAAGGCAATGAATGCTTTTCAGTCATTCAGAAAGGTGTAGAATGGGCTGAGCTCCCTGCCTTTCTCCTGTCCTAAAGCATGCAGTATTTCAAGTTTGGGGCTTCTCCATGCTACTCTGTCTTATACAAACAGGGCAAGGCCCAGGAGCTTCAGTACTATGTCGTAGTTTCTCTTTAGTTCCTACCTTTCTCTGACCATCCTTCTCTCTCACTTTATCTTCCTTCTGGTTCCTACTGGCCACAGCTCTAGAATGAGGAGAGTTGATTCCTGCAGCTGTGGCCCCTAATTTGGTCAAATTGATCTGATGTCCAAGATCGCGGAAGACACTGAGTAGACATTTAGTCTGAAAGAGAGGGAAATTGAAGAAGTCAAGGATCTGAGGCATTTTATGAAATGCATTTTAAGGTAAACTGGACTTCACCATCCTTCTTGCCTTAATCTCCTCACTCACAGAGTGCACTGATGAATCATTACGTCTCCATTAAACATTTTAAAAAGCTTGTTGCTTTAAATAATACTTTGCCTCTGTACAGAAACATTGTGTTGTTCCTTATCACTTACATAAAAGTTACAACTGAGGTGTGGTAAAGGGATGGTGACAAATCTCAAGAGTGGCTTGAGCTTGAAACATTCCCTAGACAAACAAGTTACAGAGCACTTTAGAACTGCAACTGCTGGTGGGATGTACTATCTGGGAAAGAGGACACTACCCAAGCAAGGCAGAGGTACTGGGGAACAGGGATGAAAAGACAGCTGCCTGCCTAACCTGTTTTTCAACAAACCAGAAGGATAAAGGCAAGAATTTTTGTGAAGCCTGAGAAAGGGTACTGTGATAACCAAAAACTTGCCTATGCCTTTACCAACCGTACAGGTGGTCCAATATAATAATAATCACCCACACAAATTCTTGCCTCTCACATATCTTCTGGACCATCATGACAACAACATCACCTTAACACTACCAGAAGGATAAAGTTATAATGTGCCTGATAGATGAAAGATCTGTGTATTCATCCAGCTCCTACCTACTAGACCCCACTTGGGAAATTACTGAAATGCAGTCAGCCAATAAGGAGACTGAAGAGACTATTTTCTCTTCTGAACATCTGTCCTGTTTTGAGACAGACATGGAAACAAAATCTCAACATCTTATAATTTCAGGAAACATGAATGTTAACATTTGCCTATAATGACATAATGAAGAGGGTTAAGAAGAAAAAGAAGCTAAAATCTGAAAACACTATATACATTATAATCCTAATGAGGCCCTTTTAATTAATTAACATTTTTATCATTTCCCAGTAGTAACTACATTGATCCAGAAATCATCGTTTTCCCTAGAGAGAATGTCTCTCACTCATCTAGATTAGCAACTGGTGGGGTACATGTAGATGCCTAGCATGAGTAAGGGAAAGGTTTTTACATCTTGTTGCAGGACAGAGAAAGCCAGACAAGTCCAAAGGGTCTATCCCCAAACCTCACTACTCAGAACATCTGTCTCATACTAGGAAATAAGTCTGCTCATTTAGAAAACTGTTCCTAGTAGCTTTTTTTATGACTTAATCACCTGGAAATCCGGTGAAGTCTCAGAGCTTGTTTTAAAACAAAGACAAGCCTGAAGTACCATTCTTATAGTACCAACTATTTCCAGACACATAATGCATGAACACAGAAGGGTATGTCATCTGTACCATGGTGCACAGCCCACCTTACCTTCTCAAACACCTCACACACTTGATAAGCAACAACACGGAAAGCTCCTCGTATTCGCTTCACGCCGGGGTACAACAAAGGCACCATGTTGACATAAGCCACGCCGTGGAAGGAAATTTGTCCATCATCATCTCCCTGGAAATACAGAACAAGACTGGTTTACCTGAGTGACTCTTCTCAGGGCTGTTCCTTTCTCTGTGGAAACAAAGTTTTTAGGCCCTCACTGCAGATTCCTATATTAATGAAACCCACCTCCACTAAATCAAAGGTCACAAAACAAAAGTGTGCTCTTAAATAGCTGACAGCATTGGATCACTGAAGTTTATGGCAGCTTGCAAGAATATGCTGTAATTCCTATGTCCTTGGGATTTCAATTTTATCCCGATCTCTGAAGGCTCACAGAGAATTTTCAACACTGATGACAAATGCTCTGCTTCTATTAGGTTGAATCTACTTGCAGAATCTATTAGGCTTCTACTAGGTTGAATCCTGGTCCCCCCTTTCAAAGAAGAGGGAAATGGAAAATACTTTCCATCTGGCTGGAAAACAGAATGTCTTGGCAGACTTGTGAGGGACTTCTGGCTGCAACGGACAAGGAAGCACATTGTTAATCATCACTGTAAAATCTTATGGCCAATCTTAGAGAAGGATCCCAGAATGTATGACAGGTGCTCAAATGAGTCCTTGGCCAAAGAAAAGATCAGCTGGTCACTTTGAAGTTCTCAAATGACCCCTCTTCAAAGGCCATGTTACTAAAAATCTTGAACACTAAATCTGGGGACAGCAACCTGAAATGTTACATTTATTCAACAGCTCTATAGAGCCAATTACTTCATTATGAAAGCCTCTAGTCTTCCCTAACTCACCTCTGCCACTTAGAACCTGTTCTTAGCTTAGAACCATTAAACTGAAATGGCGAAAAATAAGAGTATGTGCACACACAAATCCCCAGAGTATTTTTACCTATATTTTTACCTTGTCTGCCTTGCTAGATTTCCCTTTGGTGGAAGTAACCACAGGCACTCTGGTGATCTCCACAGGCCAGTAGCGGCTCTCTGCAATGTGCTTCTGAAGACTGCAATACAGGGGGAGACTTTTGGAACACAGAAAAACTAAAGCAGAAATTAATCTGTCCCATTTAGAAGTAAGATCCATTGGAAGAGATAAAGCTGTAGCATGATTGTCTAAAATGACCTACCAGTATCTCCTGTAAAACATTTTATCTCAAGTTTATCTTAGAAGGGACAATCAAAGAAAAGATGATTTCTTCAGAGCTCATCTTTTCCAACAACTTACTTTTCTTGACATGTCACAGTGCTTGGGCTGTGGTATCAGAGTATCCATCCTCAACTAAGAGCTGGTCAGGCTCAAAGAGAGGATTTTGGTAAAACAGACCACATCTCTTGCCTTTTTTCATGCTACCCATTATACCCGGAACACATCACAGTGAATGTGGTCCCAGCCCTCTCTTTCTTTCAAAATATTCTTAGGGGCCACTGCGCCACCCTCTTCCCCCCCCCCGGCCAAACCATGTTGCTATAAGCCCTGCACTCCACTCTATTTGCACTGTATCCTTTCCACTGGACTCAACAAATGACCATATGCCTTCAGAACATGAGCATGTTGGGATTGGAGCCCTGTTACTTATGTCACACATTTTGCCCACTTCACAGTGCCAGAGGTGGAGATAGTGCAGTATTAATTGCCAGATCATTTTGAAGCATGATGGAGATCCCTATCCTTTTCCCTCCTTTGTCTTAGAATGGGTACATGAAAAAGTGTATAAAATAATTAATTGTACAGAGAAGATAGACTGAGAGCTCCCATTCTACTTTTCTTACAGCTGAAAACAAGGGCAAGCCAATGGTATTGAAAAGCAGTAAATTCATAAAACATAGAGAAGGGCACACTTTCACAACAGATGTGCTATTAAACTGTGGAACTCATTGACACAGGATGTTACTGAGGCCAAGAATTTATCGAGGTTCAAAGGAGGACTGGACATTTATACTGACAACAGGAATGTCCAGAGTTGTTACAGTTCATGTTAGATGTTCTTTGAAAAAGAGCACAGGAAAGCATTTAACATTCTCACAATTCAGAATTTCAGCAAATATCTGTTAATGTTAGGATAAGCCCTTTATAGGTGCAGATTACCCATGGGCATGGAAACCTTCTTTTAAAGCATGGATTGCCAACCTCTGGCATGAGTGCCACAAGTGTCAGGGGAAGCCTCTGTGTGTGGCCCGTGGCAGTTGGGAAGACAACAGACAACACAATGGCAGGAAGCAGAAAGCTGAGCATCAGATTGGGCAAGAAACACAGACCAGAAATCAGGAAGCAGAGCAGCAGATTGGGCAGGGAGCAAAAAGCAAAGAAGCAGATCAGGCAGAGGAAGGGAATCAGAGTGGCACTCAGGGAAAGTGTGGGGCCTAATTTGTGGCACATCTGCCAAAAAGGTTGTCCCCCATTGCTCTAAAGCAGGGACAGGCAATTATTCCAGGCAGAGGGCTGCTTACTGAGTTTTGGCAAGCCATCAAGGGCCACATGACAGGCAGCCAGGGGCAGATAAATATTAATTTACTAAATTTTTTAGGGGCCCCACAGGCCAGATACAATGGCCTGATGGGCCAGATTTGGCCCGCGGGCTGCATTTTGCCCACCCCTGCTCTAAAGTATCCAGTGCTGGTCATTGCTGGGTCTGATCCAGTCTCCCAACTATTTTTTGATGGAAGAGTTGTCTTTGGCATTCTTACTTGAGTACTGCTGCAGGTTCTAGGTAACAGCGTCTTTCCACGTCCCAAACTATTCTCTTCTTTACGCTCTCTGCCTGAATCCGAAACTCCCTGTCCTGGGAGAAAATAAGATTCCCAGATCATGCACAGCCAGCTCCCTGTATTCTAACTGATGGGCAGTGCCTATCATAGCAGTGAAATGCTCTTCCCCTCAAAAGGGAAAACAACTGCAATAATCCAGGTATTGCAGAATTCAGCTCAGTGTACAAACAATCAGCCCTGGAGGAAAGGTTACTGAAGTTCCCAGGCCCATCAGTGGTAAATATACTTTTGTCCGCAGCAGTCTTGCTTGTAACAGTGCTGTAAGGAATGTTCTCCTCAACATGATTCCCATTCCTCCCACTCTAAATCCTTAAAATGATATATTAATATTTCAATTACCCTGGCTGTCTTGCTACCAACTGGCCCAAGGAAATTTCTTCCTCACCTCAGTTTTGTTAAGTTCTCCATCCTCATCCTCATAGGAGCCACCAACAATGAAGGAGTCTGGAATGCTCTGAGCTCCTGGAGCCAAGATGTTGCTAATAGGCCATTTTTTTGGTCGAGGTAATGGCTCCTTTTCACCACCAAGCTTCAAGACCCCATTCTTGAATAACAAGGGGTATTCTTTCTAGTGAGAAAGAAAAATACGAGGACTTTCATTCAGAGTATGAGCAAAACCAAATACACACTGCTGTGAGCTACATAGCAACAAGCAAAACACAAGGCTCAACAAGCAAAAACAGAATTATGGAGACACAGCTTGGAAAACATGCTTCAGCATCTGCAGGCCAAGCATCTAGAAAATACAAGCATCAAACTGAATGAATAGACACAGACAAGAAGAGCTGCACCATTTTAATTCACATGCACATGGGAGTTGTTATGGGGCATCAGAAATCAGGAAGCAACGGGTTTGAGGCAAGTCAAAGAAACATTCATATACCATGAACTGAAAAGACACTGACAAATAGCACTATTTTCATGCAACCAGGGGAACAGCTGGACACATCCATATGACAGGCACAAGCATTCATTGCATGTTGTAATAGGGAGCCTCAGGGGGCAGGCTCAGGGCAGGGCACAGCTGTAACTGGGGTGCCATACCAATTATATAATGGGATTAATTAGGAAAAAATACCTGCAAGCAACCCAGAGGGTCACCTGACTGGAAGAGGGCAGGGCTACAGAGATATAAGGCAGTCCCAGAGGCGGTCAGGCAGTCTGGCCATGGAAACTGAACAGGAAAGAGCTTGGTGGAGGGGCCTGTGACTGAGAAGCAGATTGGGGGTGTGCTAGGCCTGGTGACAACAAGAAAAGCAGCTGAGGTTGGCCCTGCATACATACCCAGGTTTGGGTAGGAAGTTAGTTGTATCCAGAAGGGCTTGTGTTTATGTTTGATGTCAGTGTTATCCATGCCTGGGAGGAAAAGCACTGGAGAAGGTCTGGAGGAGGGGAGCTATACCAGAAACCTCCTCCCTCACAGGGCAATAGGGACTGGCAGGTGGCAATCAGTGTGGCTAGAGGGACATGAACAGCTGGGCTGGCTCCAGATGGGCAACAACCATAGATCTGGAAAGGGAATAATGAAGACCAAGGATGAGGAGGGCTATCACACTTATTGGACTGACTCTGGGACCTTTGTTTATTCTAGGGACTGGTGACTTTTAAAGGGGCTATGCCTTAGAATGGGTGTTTGGGTGTCCCTTAAAGGGGCAATGCTGGAGGAAAAGAGGAGAACCAGAGAGATCAGACTTGAGGGAAAGTTGCCAATATCAGCTGCAGATACCTCTTCAAGAGCAGTGTGGGCAGGGTGTAGGGGAGGAGAAGCCCCATGAAGACATCCAGTAGGACTTTCCTTAACCCTTGCTACAAGCTACCATGAAGACCAGGTATGTTCCCATTCATAGAATCATAGAAAAGTAGGGTTGGAAGGGACCTCAGGAAGTCATCTAGTCCAACCCCCTGCTCAAAGCAAAACCATCCCCAACTAGATCATCCCAGCCAAGGCTTTATCTAGTTGGGTCTTAAAACCCTCCAAGGATGAACAGTCCACAACCTCACTGGGTAACCTGTTCCAGTGTTTTACTACCCTCTTAGTGACAGTTTTCCCTAATATCTAATCTAAACCTCACTTGCTGCAACTTGAGACCATTGTTTTTTGTTCTGTCATCTGCCACCACTGAGAACAGTCTAGCTCTGTCCTCTTTAGAACCACCCTTCAGGTAGTTAAAGGCTGCTATTAAATCCGCTCTCAGTCTTTTCTTCTCTAGGCTAAATAAGCCCACTTCCCTCATTGTCTCCTCATAAGTCATGTGCCCCATCCCCCTCATCATTTTTGTTGCCCTCTGCTGGACTCTCTCCAATTTGTTCACATCCTTTCTGTAGTGGGGGGGGAGGGGGGAGGCGCAAAACTGAACACAGTACTCCAGCTGTAGCCTCACCAGTGCTGAATAGAGGGGAATAATTACTTCCCTTGATCTGCTGGAAACACTCCTACCAATGCAGCACAGTATTCTGTTAACCTTCTTGGCAACAAGAGCACACTGTTGGCTCATTTTCAGCCTACTGTCCACTGTAACCCCCTAGCGCTTTTCTGCTGAGCTGCTGCCCAGCCAGTCAGCCCCCAGCCCGTAGTGGAGCATGGGATTGTTCTGTCCTAAGTGCAGGACTTTGCACTTGTCCTTACTGAAACTCATGAGACTTTTTCTGATTCAATCCTCCAATTTGTCTAGGTCTCTCTGAATCCTAACCCTACCCTCCAGTGTATTTACTACTCTTCCCCCCCACCCCTTCCCCCACCAGCTTGGTATCATCAGCAAACTTGCTGAGGGTGCTCTCTAAGCTATATTCCAGGTCATTGATGAAGAAATTGAACAAAACTGGCCCTAGGACCAACCCCTGGGGCACTCCACTTGATAGCAGCTGCCAACTAGACATTGAGCCATTGAATACTACCCTCTGAGCCTGATCCAGCTAGTTCCCTATCCACCTTACAGTCCATTCATCAAACCCATACTTCCTTAGCTTGCCTGTGAGAATGTTGTGGGAGACTGTATCAAAAGCCTTGCTAAAGTCAAGCTATACCACATCCACTAGTCTCCCCGCATCCACAGAGCCAATCACCTTGTCATAGATGGCAATCATATTGGTCAGGCTTGACTTGCCCTTTGTGAATCCATGCTGATTGTTCCTAATCACCTCCTTCTCCTCCAAGTGCTTAGAAATGGACTCCTTGAGGACCTGCTCCATGATTTTTCCAGGGACAAAGGTGTGGCTGACTGGTCTTTAGTTCCCTGGATCTTCCTTTTTCCTTTTCTTAAATATGGGCAGTGGGGCACTATATTTTCCCTTTTCCAATTATCCAGGTCTTCTCCTGATAACTCTGAGTTTTCAGAGATGATGGTCAATGGCTCTGCAGTCACATCAGCCAATTCCCTCAGCACCCTCAGATGCATTCTGTCTAGCCTCATGGACTTGCATATATCCAGCTTTTCTAAATGGTCCCTAGCCTGTTCTTTTGCCACAGTGGGCTGCTCACCTCCTCCCCAAACTGTGCTGCCAGGTACAGTAGTCTGGGAGCTCACCTTGCCTGTAAAGACTGAAGTGAAAATGGCATTGAGTATTTCAGCCTTTTCTGCATCCTCTGTCATGAGTTTGCCTCCCCCATTCAGTAAGGAACCCACTTTCCCTGATCCTTCTTTTTGCTGCTGACATACTTGTAGAAGCCCTTCTTCTTACCCTTCATGTCCCTTGCTAACTGCAACTCCAATTGCTTTTTGACCTTCCTGAATACATCCCTGCATGCCCAAGTAGTACTCTTATACTCCTCCCTAGTTGTTTGTCCAAGTTACCACTTCTTATAAGCTTTTTTTGTGTGTTTTAGCTTGCTGAAGAGTTTGCTGCTAAGCCAAGCTGGTCTTCTGCCATACTTGCCAGTCTTCCTGTGCATCAGGATGGTTTGTTCCTTCACTCTCAGTAAGGCTTCTTTAAAATACAGCCAGCTCTCCTGGGCTCCTCTCCCGCTCAGACTGGATTCCTAAGGGATCCTGCCCATCAGTTCCCTGAGTGAGTCACTTTGCTTTTCTGAAGTCCAAGGTCCTTACTCTGCTGTTCTCCTTCCTTCCTTTCTTCAGGATCCTGAACTCGATCTTCTTGTGTTTGCTGCTGCCTAAGTTGCTATCTACTATACTACATTCCCCACCAATTCTTTCCTTTCACCCCATTCACCCTTTCTATTACTTAAGACCAAGGCATGGCAGGAAAATCCAGGGGTGTCAGGAATAGAGAGTGGGGACATCAGTTAATACCTCTGCCACTGGAGTGCTCTAGCCCTCACTCCTATTGTACATTTGTACACTTGCGGACTAACATCCTGAAAAAGTGAACCACAAAAGCAAAGACATGTAGCTGGATATGTACAAAGAGCTCATTGACATGTCAGTGTTTTAGGTCTTTGCATGCCCTCACCTCTCCAGCTGTTGGCACTTGCAAGGAAACCATATAGTTCTGCTGAGGTCCTGTGGGAATAAATGCATCAGGGATGGAATAAGCAGCCTCCAGTGTAACCCTCAGGAGATTGCCACCTGACAGCTGAGCTGCAGAAAGCAGGGACTCTTGGACAGACACTGCCACTTCGAGGGCACACTGCAGGTAAGAACAAAGGGAACTGACATTACCTGCTAAAAAAAGCAACTGGTAAAAAGTTCAAATACACCTGTGTGCACATAAAGCAGGCAGATACCTAAGTGGAGAATTTATAATGTTGTAATAGTTACTGATTTAAATGAAGTAGAATATAACAGTATTGTGAGATAAAGGCATCATATGGTCATCTTGTGACCACTGCATTTAATTTGAAACAATCTCCTACTTAAAACATCAGTGTCTTGAAACAGGAAAATAAAACCAGCTCTACTGAAAGAACACTAAGGCTGCAACATATTGTACAAAGAATTCAAGAGAAGCCAAACCTAAGGTTGTAAGTGCAATCCTAGCTATACCCCTTTTATCCACCTATATGATTATTTAGGCACATACTCACAATAAAGGATGGATGGCCTGCAGGTGTTCAATGTTTATTATCACTATTGTTCAACGGGTAGACTCTTGCCTTATTTATTACATGTAGCTGATCAGTCTAACAGCAAAAATATGTTTTCAAATGCATTAGTGTAAATTTGAAGTCCATTGATTTAACGAATTTACACTAGTAACTGCACACAGAATTTGGTCAGAATTAGGCCCATTTCCCCATAAACTTTATTACATTCACTGTATATCTCTGCTTTGCTCATTGAATATTGCTCAGCCTGTAAGCTGAGACTGGGATGCCACATGAAAATAGTCCTTACTGCATAATCGCAAGCATTTAGTTTGCACAAAGGAAGAGAGTAAATGTTATACAAGCAACCTCATCTTTGCCAATTTCTGATTTTTCAACACTTCACTTTGCAAATGTATTGTTCTTTCAACTGCTTTTTAAATGACAAACAATAGTATTTATGGGCTCACTTCTGATCTAATTATCAGTTGAAAATTTGTGATATTCTTCAATGGGAATAGAAGAGGTCCCTGTATTTTTATATGTATGATTTTAACATTTCATGTGCAAAGAGGCAAAGTCACAGTTACTGAGAAAAACAGTGTTTAACTAAAAAGCAATAGGCAGCTGAATGACTGAATTACTGAATGAATGAACCAGCAAAGTTCCACATACCTTGGCATCTGGGCGCAAGTTCTCCATTGGAGAACCAGGTGCTGCATGCAATGGAACAGTTGCTTCAAATGAACACTTGCCTATGAAGAAATAAAGATGGAAATGGCATAAAGCCTGAAACTTCTCTTATAGAGAAATTGTGTACTGACAGAAAAAGCTGTGGTATCTGCCCCCCTCATTGAATAGTCCTCTTAGAGAACTGGATATTTTTGTCAATAAATGAGGATTTATGAAAAAAAGTTTATGGTACAGCTTCAAAGAAAGCAAGGAAAGTAAAAGGAGGGTGAGGTGACAGTGTGAAGTTTCCACTGCACCTTGAAGCAAAGGTAGGAGGTCAACAACAGCCTGGCCAAGAGCCACAGTCTTCTCATCCTTCTGCCTCTTCTCCTTTGGCAAGACTTCAATCACAGTCACTGGCAAAAAGGAAAAAAAAAACCAGACTCTATGGAAGTTGCTCAATCATCTTAAAACAGTCACTGAAAACAATGTCATTAGGGGTGCTTAAAAAGTGAGGAACTGTATTAGCTTTTGGCTAATGTTCCTATTCTGTTCCTCAGAGCCAGAAGAGAACAGAATGGTTGAGAGCTGTCTGTTACCAGTGCTCACACGCTACATTCTCCACATCCTCTTGCAGGAAGAGGATGAAAATGGAGGAGCTTAGAGCTCCTCACAGATGATACTCCTACTCCATTCTCTAACAAGAGACTTCTAGTAGGAGCAGATGGCAATGGCCTTGCTGAGAGGCCTTGGGCAAGATCTCCTCTCCTGTCAGTGAATCTGAATGCATAGCTAACAGACAGTTACGTACAGAATATGGGCTTGTGTGCAATGTCATCCAAAGAGTTAGGCCCATCAGGGTTATAGTCGAAGCTGGTGGTGAAATTATATATCACTGTTCCAGTGGAAGAAACATCAGTTTTTGAGGAATCGCCCAGGGTTGTGCCATTATATTCTACACGAACATATGTAACTGGAGTTTCTCCTTTTACACCTTTCTAATCAAGCACAAACAATCATTAGGGTTAATTATTTAATTTAATTTATAAGAAAGGCATATTTCAAACTGCATGCAAATCCTAAGAGATTAAATACTAATACATAACTGTTTTCAGAAAGGTTCCACTTTTTGTAAGGTGTTAAGAGGTAGCTCACAAGTAGTATAGCTGAGTTAATATCTAGTGGCAATTTCAGCAACTTTGCTGGAGATATTTAGTATTTGGAATCTGTAGGCTCCTTTTACTTTACAGTAGTGCAGTGGTTTTCAAACTTCCTGAAGTCACAGAACTCGTTCATATCACTCCTGCTGCTGTAGAACTCCTAACCATAACCATAGAGCCAGGTGGCCTGGCCCACTCCATTACTCACAATCTCTTTGCAGAATCCCTGACAACCTATCATGAAACCCCTGGGTTCTGCAGAACAAAGTTTGAAAACTACTGCAGTAGTGGCTTTAAAGAAGGGTCCAGTTCTGAACGTGTTTTTAAAGGTTTTCTTAAACATAGGAACACACTAATTGCTAGAGCAGGGTTTCACTTAACCTAGCAGCCTTTCACTGACAATGACCAGTATCATATAAGATACTGGAAGAAATGCTATGGAAAAACTGGGGTAGTGGGGTGGTGACCACCCATGGAAGCCAGTGGTGAGGCGGGGGCTGGCGACCGCCCACAGAAGCTGGCAGCAGTGTTGGCGGGGGGGGGACCCGCCCGCAGCAGGTGATGGAACTGTGGCAGGGCCTGCACGGCACTGTCCGCAGGGCCTCCCAAAGCGTGATTCGTGCCCCCCCGCCAGGGACAGCCGTGGCCGCCACCCACTGCCCCGCACCTCGTGTGCCACTTTTCCATGGCTGGCCACACATGTGGCTCCACAGGTTGCTGATGGGCCTCCCACCCGGCCAATCACACACTGCCCATCAGCAGCCCATGGAGTCGCACGTGCGACCAGTCATCGGAAAGCGGTGCATAACAGCGATGCAGGGTCATGGGCGGCGGCGCAGGGTGGTGGATGGTGGTGGCAGCCACCATGTGCGAGCTACCCCCTCCCCTTCCCACGTCTGCCCAGCCAGATGGTGCCTGTGCGACCTGCAAAGGGGCACCATTGCCCTTGCCTCCCTGGCCCTGTTCATGTAAGGTGGTGGTGCGGGGTGGTGGTGCTCTGTCCCTGCTCGCCCACGCGTACCCTCTAGGACCTTTCCAAGTACCCCTAGGGGTACATGTACCCCTGGTTTACAACCCCTGCTTTATCTGATTCCTACTAAGCATTTTGCTTCTACATATTGTAGTAAAATGCTCTATACTATGGGCATGTTGTGCAGTGTATAAAAAAGGATTTCATTATATCAGTTTTAAATTTACTGCACTTTAATTTCGCTATTTCCTTCTTTGAAGACTAGAGCAGCTAAATACAAGTCCTCAATTTACCTTTCCTAGACTGTCTGCTATATTTTATTTATTTACCCTACTCTTTTTATGCATCTCTTCTCTAACCCAACATTCCCCATCTTTTTCAATTTCCTTTTATCTGGAAGCTTTTACAGACCTATCATCATTATTATTGCCTGTAACTTGGCCCTCATTATATTTGCTACATCCTTTTGGAGATGGAATGACCCAAACTGAACATGATATTCTACATGAGCTTGTATTATTGGTTTATATAGTGACATTATATTATTTTTAGTATTTTTTAAATCTATCCATATTTTCCTAGCTCCCAGGGCTTGTGTGTGTAAATTTATTACTGAGGGAGAGATACTTAGATACTATGGATGAAATACCCACATGGATGTACTATTAACTTTTTCTTCATTTTTCTGTTTGAGTTGTCCTCAAAGGCACTCAGAGCTTTTCCTGAGCTGTTACTAGAAGCCAGTAAAGACACCCGTATAACGCAAAAGCCTCATAAAGACTGGATTCGGATCTCCACTGTAATCAAATTACCTTTAAAAGCACTGACTTCACTGAGGTCACTTGGGATTTACCTTACTAAAAGTGAAACCAGAATCTGGCCCTACAGCAGAGCACAATAAGAAAGATTTAAACATCTCTTTCATGTGTGTTTGTCTCTATGCTATGCTAGTTGTGGAAGAAGAGGAACATGTTAGTACAACAATATTTTTTGCATAATTTGCATTGTACATTGCTTAGAACACCCTGTAGGGACGAACACAGTCCATATACACATAGTACTGCAGGAAGAGGCATGGTAGGCCACATTATATATACAGATAATCATGTAAGAGGGGGAACAGTAGAACTCATTACATATTAACGTCCAGGCAGCTCATCACCCTGGCAAGTGATGTGGGGACTGAAAGAGCTTGAGAATGCAAATCTCTATATGTGGACTAACCACAAGTGGGGAACCAACAGCCATACTGTGACATTATGAACCACACTGAGTTTCTGGTGTCAGAACAGATGGCTCACAATTATATGTTCTCCCTCCATGCCTCTGCCGGGTCCACAACAAGCAGGTCCATTCCTGACCCATCTACTAACGGAGATAAAGTTACTGACAGACAAGTTGAGACATTTTCAGAATACTTTACCAGGTCATGCCCCTCCAACACTGTGATCTGCACTGATTTGACTGGGATCAGCGATGCTTCAGTAGATTGAAGAGGAGGAATAGCAACAGCTAGGGATCCTCTTTTGGCAGACTGCCCGAAAGGGGCAGCCATGTCTCTACAGGAACATGAACATTACAGTGAAACATTCTAGTAACATCTTTGATGGATTCTGCTTTGCACAAACTCAGCACAGCCACCCATGCCCTCAACAATGCTATTATTTTTATGCGAGTTCTCCTTCCTTCTCTAAACATAGCCCCCTCTCCTAGTTAATACATATAATGTTAATGGTACACAGACCAAGACAGAGCATTGAAGACATCCTGCTACAGTTCCAGAGGCCAGAGCTCAAGTCCTGCTGGAATCACTTCCTGACAAGGCATGAATATTGAAACAGCCCATAAAGCATCTGGTGTATGCATCACAATCAAACTCATTTTGGAATGTAGTTTGATTTGACTGCACACTCCAAGTGAAAAGTGCCTCATGAAAAGTGTAATTGCAGTGGGAATGAGCAGAAAGCATATACAAATAGGTGTGGGGTATCTGGTGCTGTATGTGTTATGGTCAGATACACAATGCCTTTAAAATTGCAAGGGTTTACTGTCTGTTGAAACATGGCTGCATGTTAGGTTTAGGGCACTGTTACTAAGTGCTGTCTCTCAGACACAGAACCATCTTTGGCTGTGTATCTTTGTGCCCCTTATCTGCCTGGTGCCTGTGCCCCAGGGATCATGTTGTCTCCAAATCCACAGGTCCTAAGCACCTCTGAAAACAGGTCCCTCACTCTGAATGGTTTCCACTATAGGAGCTCAAAACAACCAGAAAGCAGGCTTAACAGGCTACCCAGAAATTCCCCTTTTCCAACCCTCTCTGCTTTACCTCAGTATGAGGACACGTCCCAAATGCAGCTGCACTTTGTCACTTCTGATTGCCAGCTCAAAGGCTACTATAGCTTACACTAGGAGACTGTATTAGTCTCTGAATGGAATTAGGTGGTTGAAAAATGACACAGAAATACCTGCCTTTGATCTCACATCCACCAATATCTTCAGCTACCATAAAAACCAAGGCCTACAGAACTAGACTGCTTCTGAAAATATGATTGCCTTGCATCAGATTGGATACATTAGCACTATCCTTCCAGAAGCCATATGAACACAAATCTAACAATAAATAATATGAACCCTAGTAGGACTGTAAGATATGCCAAACCTCTCGCTGCACTAGCTAATGACATCAGCGTGCAGCTTCCCAGATACACACATAGCTTTTACTGCTGTGATCCATTCCTCTCCACTTCATTCCTTTTCTGACTCACACACCTGTTCCATGGGTCTTTTTAAAACTGTTAAATCTTTGGGGCACTGCCACTGATGGCGTGTTTGTACCCTGGCCAGAACAGTAAGTCTCTCACCTGCCTAGGACTTCTAAGCACTGCCCTGATATAAATGCTAAATAATACTAAAACTAAGCAGTGAAAGCATATCTTCAGTGATTAGATTTTATTATCTTGGCTAATCAACAGTGCCAGGTAATCTAAAGCTCTTTATGTTGTGCAAAATCCAACAGCAAAACTATGAATTAGCTAAGGGATGTCAGCCTGACAGGCAAGATTGTCCAAAATGTCTGAACATGTTGACCTTATCTATAACGTATGTCCTATGAGCCCAGGCATTTCATCATATGATAGTTCACTGGCACTGCAATAAACAACCTGGCATTTGCTGTATATCATTCACCTATGGTATTTTTCCAGGGCTCACAGCTTACAGTCCATGTTTATTTATTATATTAGGTATGAAACTGAAGACAGTCATATAGTGTTGCCTTTGGGGATATAAATTGAATACAAATGTATCTAAGTGTTCTCCTAAGAGGTAGTTCTTGCTCTTTCAGTACTCGGACTACCTGATCTCTACTGTCTGATCTCTGCAACTAGGAAACAGTGTCTGTGACCGGGGACTTTGATTTGGAGAAGTTATGAGCTTGAAGAGAGGTCTGACAGGAACTATCTGCTTTAGGTTGGTTTCCTGGGAATCAAAGAGTGTGTTAAAAGGGCAGCCCCAGTATAAGGGTAACACACAAGGAAACTGTCATAAAGGATACGTTTTAAAAAGCGTCTGTACGTTTATTTTGTGCATTTGACGGCACGTCGTATAGTCAGCGGCCCTGCTTTCCCAGCTCAGTCTGCGAGTCAGTCGATGTCGGCGACTCAGCCTGTGCCACAAGGGAAGAGAAAAGCAGAAGGTGACTGGAAATGCCGAGACTGGCGGGGAGGGTCCGAGGCAGAGAGCGCGCTCGTGTGCTTGGTGCCCCCACGCCCCGGCCGCAGGCGCTCCTCGACCCCGTGCCCTGGCGCGGGGGGGGCGGGGGTGGGGGGGGGGGGGTGCGGGGCCCGCCCCGCCCCCGGGAAGGTGCAGCGGCTCCTACCTGAGCCCATCCTGTCCGCCGTAACCACAGCAACGGCCCTGCTCTCGCCGGTCCGCACGGGGCTGGCCGTTGGGGGTCACGTGACGTGGAGCAGAGCCTGCCGTCGCCATGTTTGTTGTGGGCACCGGAGCTGGAGCCCGGGCAGCGGCCTGGTTGTGGGCCTGGTCCCGCACACGGGCCTGGGGCCCGCCCGTAGACCTCCCGTAGCCCGAAGTCCGCGGGCCACAGCCGCTCCTGCATCCTCACCGGACCGCACAGTCGCAGCACACGAGATCCCGCCCGCCTGGGTGTATTGGCAGAGCGCACGGTGACCTCACATGGCTACGTCATGGAAACGTGCCTTGACCTCATGGGGCTGCAGGCGACGGGGCGGTGCCCTCACGTGCGGTGCCCTGGGGGCTCGTTTGAACGGGCATGGTGCCGCGTCCTCGTGACTGCGATGCCGAGAGCGGGCCGGGAGCCGCGCGGTCCTGGCTCTGGGTGGATCCTCTTGATTTCATTTAAGGACGGTCCCTGACTGATGCTGCAGCCTTGGACACGTCGCAGTCAAATCAGTAGAACACCACCAAGCCTGCAGACCGCGAGGCAGGCTCCAAAATCACGATTCACTTTAAAAAGCAAGGGATTTTGAAAAAAAAGTACATTTGGCACCAGTTCCTGCCCCTTCTGGAGTCTGATTCCTTCAGGGCCTTTCTCATTCTTTTCTCTGCAAAGCCTAGATCAGACATTAAAAAAAAAAAAAAAAGCAAATACAGAAGAGCTCACATAATCAAACTGCTCCATGAACTGGGGCTTTAGAGCAACAGTCAATATCATGAGACTCCTGACCTGATCATGGGAGTTTGCAACACTGTAAAGACACATCCTTCTCCGTTGCAGCAGGCACCGCGCTGGGGAACACGCATGCTATAGAAAAGAAGGGCTTTGCACCAGGAATGAAACACTACTGAGAGGTCCTGACAGCCAGACAGGATGGGGTCCTTTACTTCTGAGACTCATTGATGGGGATCATAGGCAGACAAAGCTCTTTGGGTTAATCCAATATCTCTTATTAGACCAATTCAAATGGTTGGAAAATTCTTAGCAAGCTTTTGGGCGCAAACACCCTTTGTCAGGCTGAGGAAACATCAGCAGATGATCTGTGGTCTTCCTGGATGGAGTGGTAAAGCAGCCAGAAGCCAGTACATTTGCAAGGGTGTCCAGTATAGCTGTGTTGGTGTAAGGACATACATAGGCAGATGAGGCTCTTCGGGTGAATCTGATATCTTTTATTAGACCAACTTAAATAGTTGGAAAAAAATATTTCCCATATGCAAGAAAGTACATATGCAAGAAAGCCAGTCAGTTAAAATGTAAATTGAGGTGGTCGGTAGGTGAGCGACAGATAGGAGGGAAGGGGGAATGAAAGTGGCTGTAGTCAAAGCATGAGAGACATGAGGGTGGAGGGAAGGGAATGAGAATAGCTGGTAAAAAGTGGAGGATTTACCTGGGGATCGTTGTATTTGATCTGCAGGACATGGGATATAGCTGTAAGAAACTAGATTCTTCACCAAGCTCAGTTGCATAACATCCAGGGAGAATTATCAAAAGGAGGGGGAATCCTTAGCTGTGAATACCTTCCTTGTACAGAGGCAAGAATTGGTGCAGGTGATATTTTTTATTGAGCCAACTGTGGTTGTCACAGTACTATTCCTTAGGTCTCTGGGAGAGAAAGTCATAGCAGAGCTAATAGCGAATGCAGCAGTAATTTTATTAGTGTCATATTGCAGTGGAGAGAGCAGTAACAAATTATCAGATGCACTCGACTCGCAAGCCACAGATTCCCTGCAGGATGAAGCGCTACATGGTACGTGAGGAATGGGGCATCAGAATGAGGGTGAACTGGATGTTGCACAGTATCCTAGGCTATGGGAAAGGCATGGGATAGGGTAGATATTTTCTCTTCTCTTCCACAGGGGTGAGCAGGGTCATACACACAGTCCTCCAGCACAGTGAATGGGTGGAGTGGGGTGGGTGATACTCACCAGCCCAGCACAGGGGTAGATTGGGGGATAAACAGTGTGGTCAGCTCAAGGGTAGTGGACTGCACTGCCTCTTCAGGCAGGGGGCAAGTGTGACATGGGTTTCTGAAGTTCCTTTAGGGAAGACCTGATAAGAGTTTTTACACGTGTTCCTCCTGGGAGCCAAGCCCTGAGGTCTCAGTCACTCTACCCACTAGAAGCCATTCTTTTTGGAAAGGGTCTGGGCAGGCAGGATATTCTTAGACTGAAAGGTTCTTCTTAGCATTTCAGCAGATTGAAGCAGAAAAGACTCCAGGAGACAGCAGGCTGCTGCAGCCCAGAGACAAGCCCCAAGCAAGGGAAGGAGTCACTGAGTGGGAGAAAAAAAAGAAAAAGAAGAGGGAAAGGAGGACAGAAAGCACCTGGAAGGTGAGTCCTGGAACATGCTATACCTCCCACATATACAGTCAGGGAAGAGGTGGTTTAACTCTCTCCAGCTCAGAGTTTACCCTTCTCCTTAGATTCCCTCTTTTCATCGCTTTCTTCCCCTCTTCTCTCATCTCTATTTAGTTCTTGATAGTCTTCCTCTTCCTGGAGTAATTTTGAGATCTGTTACATCTCTCTGTTTTTCCTTTCTGACAAACGGGTCTACAAGTAAAGCAGACTGAGGATTCAGGTGGGAGGAGAGACAGTCCTCTGACCCTTATATTCAGGTGCTAAGCATTATGTTCTCCCCTTAGATAATTGTACACAATTCCAGGGTAATATAGGGGCTAAGGTGTGTTTTGATGAAAAAAAGCATTTAACCATTTTGTTAATATGGGTTACACCCACTGATTTCTACAGGGCATCAGGGTTGTGCTCTGACTAGTTAGAGGAGCTGTATTTGGGGAGAGGGAGGGCACGTCTACACAAGACGTTTATTGTGGAGCTGACTAGCTCCACAGTAAACATTTCAGTAGGTGTGTCTACATGTGTGCCGGACTGCGCAGTCATTTAGTACTTGCTTGAAGTACTTGCCTGTTGCTACTGTGCAGTAGTGTTGGTGTTACTGTTCATGCCCTCCAACACTACACTGCCATAGCAATGAGCTATGGCGGTGTAGCTTATCACTATGTCAGTGTAACCTCTTGTGTAGATCTGCCCAGTGTCTACATGTGTGCCCCTATTAGGGTGCAGGAAATTAATGAACTCTGCAGCAAGACAGTACTTTTAAATACAAGTAATACCCTGCTGCGGAGGTTTTTTTGTGCACAGCAGTGCACATGTAGATGCTGCCCAGGCTGGCTGGGGCATGAGGGGCTTCAGCGCAAGGGCTGCCTGCTGACTAGCTTTGTGCTGAAGCACCCTCATGCCCCAATTAGCCCCCGCACGGTACACTGAGCCCAGTCAAAGCATCCCCAGGCTGACAGGCTGACTCCCAGAACTGCCTGCCAGCTGGGACTGCTTTGACTGAGCTCCATGTACTGCACATGAATAAATTCCAGAGCTGATTGCACCAGAATTTATTTATGTGCACTAACTGTATGTGTAGACAGGCCCAAAG